GTGTTGTTTGGAGGACATCAAATTGTACATGAAAACAAAAATCTAACCTCTATTAGATAAAACTATTAACAAAATCAAATTACTAAAGGCAGAAATACAGATTTCATCCAGATAAACAAGTCTAATGATATCACCCAAGAACTGCTTTCAGACTTTGTCTGGTGAACTTCTGCTGCTCTCATGGCTATCAGTCCTGGGGCTGCTGATATAACAAAATGGTACTGCTGACTTTGAACAGTATCTTGTTCTCTGCCTTGTTTTCAGCATATATTCGCTCAGGAGAGTATTTATTAAAGCTGAAACTCTGTGCACTTGTGCACTTTGTGGTGGCTGTTACATTCTCTGACTCTGAAAAGACTTGCCCAGATCAGTTATGTGCAATCTGATCTAAGCTATCCTGGATCTAAAGATCCTTGGAAAAATAATCAGATATGATCTCAGAATGTTTTTTCCTCATGAAAAAGAGTTTAACAATGAGATCATCCACTACCGAATGCACTGTGTGTACCACCTGATCATGTTGAATCTATTACAATATACAATAATTAGCCTGAGGAGTCTTAGTGGAAATGGAATTGAGTGGAGTGGAAATGGAGTGGGAACAGAGAAACCTCTTCTTTCTTTTGCTTGTTATGCCCAGTGTTGTGGAAGACAGAGAAGGTCAAAGGTATTCTGTCCTTTATGACTTTTATATATGGAGTGTAAATAGATACAGGGAACAACTGTTATCAACTGTTATAACTGTTACAACAACAGTTGTAAACAACTGTACAATTAATAGATGCTACAGTTCAAAACAGACACACAGAGAACAGGCCAAAAGCAGGATCCAGGTTGAAATGCAGTCAGAGACGATGCAGAGCTGATTCTATAAGACAGGAAGAATGATCCAGATTTCTCACTGTAGCCTCTTTGCATTATAGTGAAGCAACATAAAAAGATGGGCAAAATCTTTCTGTTTGTTAGTGGCTTGGACAATGCCGAATACAGTGCAGTTGAGGACTCTGTGCTATTGCATTAGTATTAATACAACTGTAATATGTCTGCAAAGAGATTGCAATCAGTGTCACAAAGGTACTTGAAGAGTAAAGATGTTATACAGTGGCTTTTCCTTAGCCCTTTTTTATATCTTGCATAGGACACCTTCTCTTGAGAAAAACAGAGTAGTCCCCCTTTCCGATATGACTATGGAGTCAAAGGACTGGGAAATTGCTGAAGTTACATAGACGCTTTGTTTTCCCTGTTTCTATCTTTTATTTTTGTTCAGCTTAGATGAACTTGAGAATCTCCGCTAATGATCTGTCTTTGCTGTTTTACAAGTACAACACACACACAGCAATGGCAGGAAGGAAACTTGGACTTGAAGTCTGGGTGGGCTTGACATTTGCTGAAAACCCTTGCTTGATCTTTGGATGCAATACACTGCCAAAATAACACTTTGCAGAATCCGTATCCTGGTTATGCACCTGATCTCCATAATATTAAGTCTGCCCACCTGTTAGGACTCCATTTAGAAAAAATCCTGTGACATTTAGAAAACGTTTCTCAACACTAAACCAACACATGGAAAGGAGAGACCCTCGATATTTTATTCAAGGTATAGGACAGGCCCCAGGCAAGATTCATGGGCTTTTTGCCACAATGACCGGATGGATATACCAGAGTCATCATCATTCCAGTGAAACACTGCACTTTAAGCAGATCCTGAGAGGGGTACAAAAGGCCCTTTTTGTTGACTATTTTTTATGATGTAGACATTGCTTTGTGACTCACAGTCAAAAATGAAAAGTACTTTTGCAACACAATGATGATTAATCAGGCATGGCTAAATTTTGTGATTTTAGTTCCAACAACTGCCACAGTCCAAGCTTGCCCAAAGCAGCTGTAATCAGGTCATGAATCAGGGGAATAGAAGAATGCAATTGTCATTTGTGGGACGAAAATAAAATCTGTATTTCTGAAGGAAGAATTTCAATCTAGTAATTTTTGTAATAGCAGAACAACTCTAAGTCAGCAGTAAGCGTGCTACATTCCTAATGTTTCATGGCTTGTGTCAGACAAACGGCACAGGGATAAATGATTTTCAGATTTACTTTGGTCAGTCAATAATGTAGGAATGGTTAATTAGCGTGGCCCAAATTGATTCTTAAAGACTTTGTGTCTTTCAAAGCTCTCATATTGCTGCTGAAAAGTCAGTTAGGCCAGGTATAGGAGGAAGGGAACTGCATGAGGAAACATATATTTTTACTTTCTTTAATTCACCTTGCCCTCAAATACCATGCTTGCCGCTTTCTGTCCTTATAGACTACAAAGGACAGCAGCTCTGTAGCACTACAAAGGACAGCAGCTCTGTAGCTTGTACTCTTACAGCTCTCAGTTATAGCTGTGACTGACATCAGTGTCTCCAGATGTGACAAAGAAGTAGCATGAACCTGATGGCAAATGATACTATAATTCTGATACGAGAATGGGGCCCCTCATGTGCTGCAATATATTATCGGACTACTTGTTGATACCTCACATGTCTCAGAGAATCCTCAGGGCAATGAGAAGTCTTCACAGGACTGGTAAGCTCTACCACCACGCTAGGAAATCCTCCTAACTACATAAATCTTTATTTGACTGGTAAGGCACTCTTACCTTTTCCACCTTCCTTCCAACAAGACCAAAAATCTATATTTCTTTCCCTGTCTTCATACCTCTAACTGCATTTGATTTACCATCCTCAATAAATGATACAATGATAACTACACACAAAATTTGTGTGACTGAACTTCCTTTGCTGTGTCCAGAGAGCCAAAATCTTCAGTGTTAATAATGCCATTTTCGATGCATGCAATACATCAAACTGTGGATTAGTTCTGTTTTCTGAAATCCCTTTATAAATTGAACATTTTGGCTCTTTGTTCACTTTGGAACAAAAACGTATTTTGAAATTTTGGAATTTCCCACAGGAAATTTTTCCAGTAAGCTCTAATGCATGGTGAGATAGTACTGGCCTGAGGTACAACAGCTGCTATATAGGGTCAAGAAAGAACACAAAGGAGAATGTGTAGGGAACGATACGGGATTATCAGACCTGGGCATTGACAAGGAATTCAGGCTGAGCAGCCAACACCTATAAATGTAAAATGGCAGCTTTTATTAGCTGCAATGAACAGAGGAGTTTAATCTTTCCTGTGAGAAAACTTATATCAGCTTCTTGACAATAACATATGGTCATGGAAGTAAATACAAATATTCACAGACAAAGCTTTTTTGAAACTATAAATCATATCTGTAAAGTTCAAACAGAAAATTAAATTAATTGAGGTGTTAGGAATACACTCATTCAGTTCCCCGAATGGCTCGCTCACTCAGTACATTCTAAGAAAGACTACTGTCAGCTGAAATGAGGTTTCGTTCATGTTGATATTTAGAAATGGTTCAGACTATAGAGATTTGCATTTACAGCAGCACTCATGTTGAGGATATGAGGAATACAGGTGCAAGAAATATGCTATTTGTTATTTCTTAGTCATCGGTTATAACACTCTATTACAAAAATGGTTGTCAAATATAACCGAGGAAGAAACAAGCAAAAAAAGTGACTTGTGATTAGTCAAACACCATAAATAAAAAGCATCAAATAAGTGATGTGAAAGTCTGCAAGCATCCCATGATATTTGTTTCTGCTTATTATGCATGAGATTCATTAACAAAAGCTGAAGGGATTATTTGTGCTGCCCAGAAAGACCACAAACAGAGAAACAGGCTAAGTACAGTCCTATCAGTGAGCAATGGCCTTGGGTTTCAAGCATTGGATTGGGACCCAGAAAACTCTCTTTTATACTTGCCATGCTGGATGACTTTGAGTGCCCAATTTCCTCTCAGTTTGGATGAACTACTTCAGCTTAAAGCAGAGATAATGATACTGACCTCCTTTGTAAAGTACTTAGAAACATGCGAATGAAAAGCACCTTGCTGTAATGGGGCAGAAGAGGGAGGACAGTCCAAAATCATGTTGGACACTGTTTAGAGCCATGTTGTTCAACTTAAATGTATTATGCTCACCCCTTCAATATTTTTACATTGCTGCAATCTCATAGGCTGACTTATAATACTCTTTACCTCTATCTGAGGATAGATTATGCAAAATATAGTTACTGTAAAAGAAATCAGGCAACCTTTCCTCATTGCACCTCTTATAATAGTATCTCATCCAAACACAGAAAATGAGTATAATGAGTAGGCCAATAGCATATAGTTTAAGTTTTTCAAGCATGGCTGAAAAAGGTCTTAAGCAGTTGCTCTGCATTCAGTGGTGAATTTCACCCTGCAAAATATAAAATAGATCGAAGGAAGAGTACAATTCTCTTAACTGCATCCCTACATTTTTTTTCCCTGTGAAGTGGAAATTTCATCCATTATACTGATTTACTCTACCTGCTCAAACTGGAGGATGCATACCTCCTATTCAGCACTCAACCTGGAAATGAGAGACTGCTATGGAAAATAACCCTTGTTTTACATGGAAATATCTAGCTCTGATATGGATAACACTTGATAACAATCTTGTCAAACTTTATACAGCTGTAATCAGAGTTTACAGTGATATGTTTACCATCGTGCTACTATTTATAGATCTATAAACATAGTTTACAGTGATATACAATGTTAATGGCACTGACAACACCACTCAGCAAAAGCACAGATGTTGAGAGCTGTTCTTATGCAATCTGCATTACTGTTTATATCTACATAAACTTAGCTGAATAATCAAAGTTGCTACATTCACCATAAAAGAAAGACAAACATCCACTTTTTAAACGCAAAGAGAAGCTGTTAAACATTCCTTTTCATAGACAAAATTTCTCTAGTCCCGTCATGCTTTCACAGAAAAATGTCTCTGAGCAGACAGCCACTTCTCCGAACCTACATGGGGAGACTACAAAGCCAGCAATTTACAGCTAAGTTCTCTTTCTACTCAGGAGCAAGTGGAAGAAAACCAGCCAACTTACGATCTCCTTGACAACGAACAGGACCCAGAGATATCTTGGCCTCGGAGCCAGGTCGGTCAATGTCTCCCACCACTATTTGACTCACTGGTAGGTGCTCTTTGTATGACAGCATCCCAGCGTCTTTTCTCCTGAATTACAGAGAAAGAGAAAAAAAAACAATTAGTTGTGAAATATATTAAAATATATAAAAATGTTCCTCTATTGTCATTATAGCCCAATGATCTAATCGTTGACAGAACAGATACGCAATAATTACACCAATGCAATTTTATCCTCTAAAAATGGGTCTCAAATAGCATCCGTTTGTCTACTATACTAATAATGGTGTTTGTTTACTAGAAAGTAGTTGATTAGCAGCTACTGCCACACAGGAATAAAATCAGATTAACAGCTTTCGTCACGTCCAGTCTTGGGCTGAGCTTGAATTGCATGTGTCTTCCTGCTTTCTAGACCGACCAGCTCCATACTAGGTGGGCAGCAGGTCACTGTTGATTTCTTTGGTGAGAGGAAAAAAAGAAATACCAGCACTTTCTAGAAGGGTATCTTTTTGGCTGCAGCTGTAGCCAGTTACTATCCTAATGATACAATCTCACATACCAAGCAAACATCACTTCCATTGCACGCAGTATTTTTAGTATTATATTAATAAAAAAGAGAAAATAAGGAATAATTATATGATAAGACTTATCATCTTAGTCCTATCACTTCTAGCACTAAGTGCCTACGTCCAAAAAACTAAATTCGAGAATCTTAACAAGTACGCAGCTGCTGCACAGTCCTTGAGTCCCACATTTCAGTTAGCAAGATTCCTAACATGCAATTTACAGTCACGTCTAGAAGCTCCTCATTCTAACTGCACTGCCTGGTACCTTTTTCAGGCCTAGACCAAATCACTGTACACAGATATATCATTTTTTCTTTATCATTTCAGGAGCTGATTCCAGCTGGCATATTGAAGGTTGTTCCTTCCAAACAGAAAATAAAACAAAACAAATTTAATTAGCTACCTCTCAGTCACACGCTTTTTTTTGTTTGTTTGTTTTACATAAAGACATGGGAAGCCAGAAACAGCCGTATAGTAAAATGCATTATAAATCCTGTTAAGACAATACTTTTTGAGGTAGAAGAAAGTAAGCGGAAGCAAAATAAGTCTTATTCTCTTTTTTCCTTTCTTGCTTTTTAGCTGTGCCTTGCAATGTTATTCAGCGTCTGAAGTAGCCAACTTTAAGATCTAGAAATTAATTCCTTTGTTCAACAATAAATGAGGGATGACTTCAGGCTCCACAAAAGATACTGAAGTGCATAATATGAATATAACTGGGAACTGGAAAGGATTTCAGGAGACTGAAAGTTTTTTCCATCTGTAACTTGGATGACTCCATGATCTGAATCATTAGATCACTATCAACTGGGAAGCAAAGCCTGGATTTGCTTGATCCGCAGTAATGACCAGAGTTTTCCTCTAGCCCAGATAGGGTGTCTCCAGTCACCAGCCTCACTGAGTCCTTCTAAAGAGATGGAAGATAAAAGACTATTTTTAAAATAAAAGCAACAAAGGTAATTAAGAAAATAACCACGCTGTTTTAGAATGATCATGGATCTGCAGTCTGCTCTCTGTGATGAAGAGAGTAATTAGAGATTCAGTGGCTACAGTTCTGAGGAAGTCAAGTGTTTTTAGAAAATAGAAGAGGAGTATTTTCTTAAATCTATATACTCTTCCCCTCTAGAGCATTCGCCTTTCTCCCAGGGCCCTTTGTATTGTTGAGATCATTAACCGTCTGTGGTTAGCTACAGCTAGGCTAGATGCTATGAACAGAGGCTGTTGAGACTGCTACAGGGGACTGCTACAAAAGAAGGAAAATGAAGAGGAGTAACCCTTAAGGGTTTCTTCTGCACTTTCTGCTAGGTTGTAGCACACCACTTTTCATCTCTAAGTTGCAAAGCCCTTTGCAAAGGTATCATTACCTTCATATTGTAGATAGGAGATAGAAGAACAGGGAGATTAAGGATTTTCTCTTTAAGTTAAAAACAGAGTGCATAACGAAGCCAAGTTTATAGCCCTAGTGTCCCATCCCTGCTAAAGACCTGTATCCATGGGACCCACTCTCTTCTAATAATGGATAAATGTAGGTCATCACTTTAGTCTTTCTGAGATTTTCCTCTGAGACAGGCTTTTTTCCTCTGAGACAGCCTTTCTCTGCTGATTGCTACTCTTTCAAAGAAAGCTTTAAAGATGGAGACATCTATTTAAAATAATGAATTCTTCAAAGAACGGTAGAAAGAAAACCGCTGGCCTTCCACTTCCTTCCTTCCTTCCCCTCTTACAAAACGAGCTAATATTTCAGCTACAAATAAGGATGCCAAAGAGCAGTCCTTTTCCTGTCACCAGTAGCTTTCACCTGCTTTGAAGGAAATAAAAAGGAGCAGTAATGACTTTCCCCCTCTTCTTTAATGATCATTTTTCTACCCATTTTAATGGTTTATTTATGTATTTAATGATATGATTACTGGAAAGCTGTCACCACAGCAATAAAACTAACATTATAGTTATTTTCAGGAATTCCCTTATTTTCTTACAATTGGTTACTTGTTTCATCTCTGCAGCAAAGACTTTCTCCTCTGCAGAGGAGACACTGAGCGGTGGGAGTACAGGACTGCGAGGTGCGAGAACTGAGCTGTCTTTTCTCTAACAGAACCTGTATAGCTCATTTGTTCTTAACAAAAAAGGGATAATGATAGCTTTTTGCCCCACTGATAAGACAAATACAGTTGAGAACCTGAGTGGCTACACTATGCCTTTTGGAGGTACTGCTAGTTCCTCAGGACACACTGATCAGTGCTGACAAAGTCAAAAAAGTTATAAACCAAAGACTGATTATAATGCTTGACTTTGTGATACACACTTAGAAATAATCACAGCCGGAACACTCAATTCCTAGAAATGATAATGCTTCTGCTGGTATTTAAGGACCTGGGCATATTAAGAGGGTGGAGAAAGTCTCTGAAGTTTTTCCTCACCAAAGAAAATCCCCTTAAGAGAATAAAGATTGAATTCAGAGTGTGTCATATTCCTGTTAATAGCCAAATGGGAGATGAATGAATCTGATCAAATCCTGTAATTATCACCAGGGGATATTGATGAAATCTCAGTGTAATTTTCTATTTCTAATTTCTATTCCTATATATAAAAGTCTGCAAAGTGCTTCAGGGTCCCTTTGAATGAAAGCAGCAGATATTAGTGTAAGATTTATCATTGTTTTCATTAAGATTGTCTACTTACTCTTCATAAGCACTCTGTGGTATGTAAAAAAAAAAAGCATTATGCATATGTCAGCAAATGACTTATTCAAAGTAATGATAATATTCTGTACTGCTATTAATTTGTTTATATAATGATTTTATATGAACAGACTTCTGATACAGGAGTCATTTATCTTCTCCATTTTTGTTAGACATCAGTAAAGGCCCTATACTTAATTATCAGTCCTCTCCTACACAGAGTAGCACATAAAGAATGTACAACTAGGAACAGATTTACTTTTACAGATACGCTTACATTACCTGAGGAACTGGAATTGTTTTGCGAATACAAATCAGGCATTTACTGGATTGAACCTGCATTATTAAACAGGTGTCATATAACTGTTAGTATTGATCTGAAGAATATAAACTCCCAAGTATTTCCATTCTAAGGGTATACAGTTGTTCACCTCTCCCAAAACCCAACTTTTTAATGTGGAAGCACCTTTGCTGCAATCCCTGAATTTCCATAATCTGGGAGAGGTATAAACCAATTTCGTTCAGCTAACATCTGCAAATGAACGTCTATACAAAACATTGTGGAAGGTACAGATGTACCAAGTATTAGTGTTTTCTTTCTTCCAAAAATATTTGGCAAGAATTTTATTTAAATTAGAACTGCTAACAAGAGCTAATATTACAGAGACTTTAATGAACAATGCAATTTTGGCAGGAGCCTCGATAATCTGGAGGCTAGTTATTTGCAGATATGTAAACTGTAATTAACAGGATTAAAATAGGGCAAACAGAAGCGAGGATTAACAAGGAACTAGCTAACTTTGGAAAAGTTTTGATAAAATTTAGTTAACTTTTTAACGTACATACATGCAACACCAAAAATGTACTTTTAGATTCTCCCTGTTCCTAGAGCTCTGCCCTTCTTGCAAATTGAAAGGTGCCAACAATATACGCCAGGCAGAAAACTTTCATTCCTACTTGAATTGGCTCTTCTCGGGGATTCAGATAGATCTCTTGCATGCCCTACATCTCTTGCCACCTCAGACCCCTATACAGTAAGTTGGAGCTAATGACTTACGCTTGATCTGGCTGCCAAGGGGCATTGCGGAAAACTTCTCATTACTGTTTAGGATCATAAAAACTGACAAAGAATCATAACTCATTTCTAGGTTTCTACCACACTGGCATCAGAAGGGCTGAGGTAGTATTAAATATGCTGTTCTTATATTCCTAGCAATAAAAAGGAGGAGAAGTTTGAGCTCTTATAATCGAGATTGTTCTTACGATATTTCCCACACAGTTTTACTGACTGAAGAGGAGCAATCAGATGGTTCACCCTTTCTTCCTCTACAGTATAAATCTATCTCATTGCTAAAATTGGTGGTTTGAGCTTCCTTTTAGTATTGTTTAGGATTTAGTGCTACAAGACACTAAGATCCTAGGTCCCAAAATGGAAGCATGTCTAATCACATAGTGAAGTGCCTTTCTATCTTGGGTCCTCAGTGATCCCCAGGTAGTGGATTCACTTTAGAAGTGCAGCTCTGTGTTAGTACAGTAGGTTGCTCTCCAGCACAGCAGTAAAAAAGGAGAGAGGAAAGTGCCACGAACTTTAGGAATATTTTCTTATTTATCACATAATCAGTACTTTTATTAGGTAAGCAAAGCCTATGCGCAGGTACAACCGTTAGCCATAGACAAACTTGGGTTTGAAAGGGTTTTGTTTCATTTTACTGGAAAATGTAGATGCAAAACAGGGAAGCAGTTTGGCTTTTGGGGGGACGGGATGCTCATCTGCAAATCTACAACAATACGATCAAAGACTTATCCCAGCACCCAAATTACAAACATAAACAAGTCCCTCCTTTGACAC